CTCACCACCATGTAGGGTGTGGTCACAGTCCTGATCCCACCACCATGTAGGGTGTGCCACAGTCCGGCTCCTCACCTCCACCAATGTAGGGTGTGGCACAGTCCTGGCTCCTCACCACCATGTAGGGTGTGGCACAGTCCTGGCTCCTCACCACCATGTAGGGTGTGGCACAGTCCTGACTCCTCACCACCATGTTAGGGTTTGGCACAGTCCGGCTCCCTCACCAACCAATGTAGGGTGTGGCACAGTCCTGGCTCCTCACCACCAGGTAGGTGTGGCACAGTCCTGACAGTCCTCACCACCATTAAGGGGTGGCACCGACCCCGGCTCCTCACCAACCATGTAGGGTGTGGCACAGTCCTGGCTCCTCACCACCATGTAGTGTGTGGCACAGTCCTGGCTCCTCACCACCATGTAGGGTGTGGCACAGTCCTGGCTCCTCACACACCATTGTAGGGTTTGGCACATCCTGGCACCTCACCACCATTGTAGGAGTGGCACAGTCCTGGCTCACTCACCACCATGTAATGGTGTGGCACAGTTCCTTGGCTCCTCACCACCATTAGGGTTTGGCCACAGTCCTGGCTCCTCCACCACCATGGTAGGGTGTGGCACAGTCCTGGCTCCTCACCACCGATGTAGGGTGTGGCACAGTCCTGGCTCCTCACCACACATGTAGGGTGTGGCAGTCCTGGCTCCCATCCACCACCATGTATGGTGTGGCACAGACCTGGCACCTCACCACCATGTAGGGTGTGGGCCACAGTCCTGGCTCCTCACCACCATGTAGGGTGTGGCACAGTCCAGGCATCTCACCAACCATGGTAGGGTGTGGCACAGTCCTGCTCCTCACCACCATGTAGGTGTGTGCACAGCCTGGCTCCTCACCACCATGTAGGTGTGGCACAGTCCAGCTCCTCAACCCACCATGTAGGGTGTGGCACAGTCCTGTCTCCTCACCACCATGTATGTGTGTGGCACAGTCCTGGCTCACCACCATGTAGGGTGTGGGCACAGCTCACCTGGCTCCTCACCACCATGTAGGGTGTGGCACAGTCCTGGCTCCTCACCTACCATGTAGCTGGTAATTTGTGGCACAGTCCTGGCTCCTCACCACCATTTTAGGTGTGGCACAGTCCTGCTCCTCACCACCATGTATGGATTGGTGGGCACAGTCCCTGGCTCCTCACCACCAAGTAGGGTTGTGGCACAGTCTGGCTCCTCACCACCATGTAGGGTGTGGCAAAGTCCTGGCTCCTCACCACCATGTAGGGTGTGGCACAGTCCTGGCTCCTCACCACCATGTAGGGTGTGGCACAGTCCTGGCTCCTCACCACCATGTAGGGTGTGGCACAGTCCTGGCTCCTCACCACCATGTAGGGTGTGGCACAGTCCTGGCTCCTCACCACCATGTAGGGTGTGGCACAGTCCTGGCTCCTCACCACCATGTAGGGTGTGGCACAGTCCTGGCTCCTCACCACCATGTAGGGTGTGGCACAGTCCTGGCTCCCCACCACCATGTAGGGTGTGGCACAGTCCTGGCTCCTCACCACCATGTAGGGTGTGGCACAGTCCTGGCTCCTCACCACCATGTAGGGTGTGGCACAGTCCTGGCTCCTCACCACCATGTAGGGTGTGGCACAGTCCTGGCTCCTCACCACCATGTAGGGTGTTGGCACAGTCCTGGCTCCTTCAACCACCATGTAGGGTGTGGCAGCAGACCCCTGGCTCTTCAACCACCATGTAGGGTGTGGGCACAGTCTGGCTCCTCACCACAAGTAGGTGTGGCACAGCCTGGCTCCCTCACCCACCATGTAGGGTGTGGCACAGTCCTGGCTCCTCACCACACCATGTAGGGTGTGGCACAGTCCTGGCTCCTCACCACCATGTAGGGTGTGGCACAGTCCTGGCTCCTCACCACCATGTAGGGTGTGGCACAGTCCTGGCTCCTCACCACCATGTAGGGTGTGGCACAGTCCTGGCTCCTCACCACCATGTAGGGTGTGGCACAGTCCTGGCTCCTCACCACCATGTAGGGTGTGGGCACAGTCCTGCAGGCTCCTCAAACCACCTGTAGGGTGTGCCAAAGTCCGGCTCCTCACCACCATGTAGGTTGTGGCACAGTCACTGGCTCCTCACCCGCACACCATGTAGGGTGTGGCACAGTCCTGGCTCCTCACCACCATTGGCAGGGGTGTGGCACATTCCTGGCTCCTCACACCATGCCAGGAGTGGCACAGTCCTGGCTCCTCACCACCATGCAGGGTGGTGGCACAGTCCTGCTCCTCACCACCATGATAGGGTGTGGCACACAGATCCTGGCTCCTCACCACCATGTAGGGTGTGGCACAGTCCTTTCTCCTCACCACCATGCAGGGTGTGGCACAGTCCTGGCTCCTCACCACCATGCAGGGTGTGCCACAGTCCTGGCTCCTCACCACCATGCAGGGTGTGCCACAGTCCTGGCTCCTCACCACCATGCAGGGGTGTGCCACAGTCCTGGCTCTTCCCCTCACGCACCATGTAGGGTGTGCCACAAAGTCCCTGGCTCCTCCCACCATGCAGGGTGTCACAGTCCCTGGACCTCACCACCATGTAGGGTGTGCCAAAGCCAGGCTCCTCACCACCATGAGGTGTGCCAACAGATCCTGGTCCTCACCCACTATGTAGGTTGCCACAGTCCTGCTCCACACCACCATGTAGGTGTGGGCACAGTCCAGCTTCCTCCTCACCACCATGGTAGGGTGTGGCACAGTCCTGGCTCCTCACCACCATGTAGGGTGTGGCACAGTCCTGGCTCCTCACCACCATGTAGGGTGTGGCACAGTCCTGGCTCCTCACCACCATGTAGTATGGCACAGTCCTGACCTCCTCACCACCATGTAGGGTGTGCACAGTTCCTCTGGCCTCCTCACCACCATGTAGGGTGTGGCACAGTCCTGGCTCCCTCACCAACCATTAGGGTGTGCCACAGTCCGGCTCCTCACCACCAGTATGTTGTGGCACAGTCAGGCCCCACCACCATGTAGGGTGTGGCACAGTCTGCTCCTCACCACCATGCAGGTGTGGCACAGTCCTGCTCCTCACCACCATGTAGGGTGTGTCACAGTCCTGGCTCCTCAACCACCATGTAGGGTGTGGCTCTACCCCAGCAACCACTAATAGGTGAGTACACACACATATCTTTGTTCATAAACACGTAGAAGGGAAAGTACATCTTGCTACTTCCTACTTAATCTATTCTCAACATAAAGAAGTCATGTATGAGTATACACACACAACTGTGTTTTCTCTAATCCCTCTCAATAGTTCTTAAATCATACTAATATTTCTTCCACCTCCATGTAGTGGGTGAGAATTTTTGCAAACATCACCATGCTTGTCATAGAAACTGGTGTTATGTCAGAAGCAACTGGAATTGTCACCCTCCATCTGTTAAAATTACTAAAAGGCACAAAGAATCAAATTTAAAGGTGGGTTATTTGAATGATACATTCACCCGAGCCGTATATTTCTTTTCTCTGTATAATGCACAGATAGTTTCTGTATCCAAATTTTAGGGAGTTAGAATAATTTTGTTTATGTGAAAAGGTTTACGTGGCAGCCTTAATTGAATTTAGTTTAGTCGATAGGTTTTAAACCTCATTAACCAACCAACCTGCTTCTTCATTAATTCTATTGTCAATATGTTTCAAATTTACTGTATAAAATTATTTCAGTAGCTTCAAGGGGCAGCGTGTGAGAGCATTTATTTCACGTGTAAACTCACCAGTGTTAGGCTCTATTGAAATTCTAAGCTTGCAGTTTTTAAACACTGTTACCTTGTGTAGGAAAAACTCCAAGTGAGGTTATGATGAAGCCAGGGAATCACTCTCATTATGCTACATGGTATGGTTCCTTCACCTGGAATAAGTAAGATATTAATTAACCGTCACCACAAGGCAGTATAACCTCCCCTCCAGTGACCTGACCAGGAATGAGAACCAACTGACCTCAAGTGATTTGTCCCTGACGATGATGAATATGACATGTGCAACACCTGGGTGTCTTTATTATGAAGACGTTTCCCTACTCGGTGGTTTTATCGATTTACTACTGTGTAGGTGAAACATTTCAACAATAAAGATGCCCAACTGTTGTACGTGTGTCTTAATCATCATGAGGGACAGTGTGCATATGTACTGGAGTGCTTGTGTGTTCTCTATAATGTTGTCTTAACATTTCTATCTACCAGTTTTATCAGAACATCAAAGAAAGGTTGTTTACCTTAAATTTCCCATTCATATTCGAATTTGATGAAAAGATTTAAATCTGCTTTGTAATCCAAGAATGTATTGAGACATCGTCCTTCCATGGCATTGAGAAAATGTCATCTACATCACCAAGTATGATCCGGAAGTAATATCTATGGTAATATTGCACTCTCCAAGTATTCCATGAACAAAGTGTCTTAAGATTAGACCTGAAGGTTTTTACTTTGGAAAAAGTAGATTTTTCACTGCTAAATGCTTCTCTGTTGGCTAGCTTCACCTGCACCCCCTCTCCTCTCCTAGTCCCATCCCACAGTTCTTACTGGTTAGCCTCTCCCACCCACCACCATCCCTTGGTTCTTACTGGCCATTAACACACTCTTGTGGTACATCATTTTACTCTTACTCTTGTCATATATAACAACTTTTTTGATAACTGCTATATTTTAATTACAGATGGTTGTGTATTAATTAAATGTAATTAATATGTGTATCAGCAGCATTTATTGAGTCATGAAGTTAGCAAGAGAATGTTTGTAATGATGAATGATTTTGATGGATGATTGATGATGATGAATGATGGATGACTGATAATGTAAATGGAACCCTGAAGCAGTGTATGCCATTAAGTGCAGGTAGTAATGGAGGGGTAGATCCTCCGTCAACTGAGAGGCGAACACCCTGCCTATATTGTTCTCACTTACTTTCAGTGCGATCAAGGGACAGGTGTAGACTGGTCTTACGATTTCCATGGCCAGGGCTGGAGGCCTACGTGTGGCTGGTAAACACAACACTCCTCACCACGGTCCCAAGGATGCACAAGCCTCAGTATGTTGTCCCCCTGCCTCAACTATGTTGTCAGGTGAGTCTAACTACGTACTACTTCCGAATTATACTTCACCACCACCATCGTCACTAATATTGCCCCTTCAATTTTTGCTTAAGGTGCTTCAACAAAGTGGTTATTAGCATCACTGGATGACGTCAAATAAGATTCCTTTTGGACGTGTATATGGGTTATGTGTTTCACGAAATAGTAATAACAGTTGTAAACAAACCATGGTACTAGTGGTTTGAACTCATGGCAAGTGAGTCATAAAACTTGCATTTGTGGTCCCAGTTGTGGCCCATGCTACCCTCCCTATGGTGTATAAATACAGCCTTTCATCACAAACCCACTACCATTATAGTATGCTCCTTGCTTAGTGACAAATTCGTTTACCAACATGGTCTTAGGAACAGAACCCTGTCATTAAGTAAGGAGAGGCTGTATACCTAGTTGAATGAATCTCATTGTGGCCAGCTGGTCCAGTGGGGCTCGACCTCACATGCCATGAGTTCGATCCCCACCCATTCTGTGGTTTATGGGCAATGTTCTTCCATGATTCGAACACAGATGAGAGACACTTTCAGCTGCCTACACCCTCCACCTCCACCATCAGGATGGTGTAGGTAAGGAGGCCCACCTAACCTACTTGGGAATTTTTTGTTCCTATTTCTTTTGCAAAATGAACTCTGTACCATTCATTTCATTGCTCAGTTTTGGGGACTTCTGTGCCAGCCTTGGTGTGTGGCATCTTACTCTCACTTGGGTCTCATGACAAATTTTCCCTGTTCTCTCTCTAAAATGTTTATCCTTATCTTATTCTTCCCACTGGGCATTTTTACAAGAGGGGCACCATGCATCAGCTCCATTTTTCTGCTTTGTGGATAATTTCTTAGTGGTTTTGGTGAGAAGCTGGTTATTAAACTAGGGTTGGGGTTGTGGTGCTTTGGTAGCATTGAAAATGGGCTGGGCAAATATTTTTGTTAGTGGGTTGATTTTGAGGAGGACCTACCCATTATGGGCCAATAGGCCTCTTGCAATGTTCCCCCTTTCTTATGCTCTGCTGAGGCCTAGACATTTGGGTCCACCTGGCCTACTTGGCAAATTATCATTTCTGCTTCTGTTTGCAAGGGAAACTACTGTTCCCTTTTATCTCCCAGCTTTGAGCAGTATCTCTTCCCATGCATCGGGAAGCAAGAATCAATATGACATAAGTTGTCAGTGACCCTTAAGAACCCAACAAGAAATGGAAGAACAATGTAAAGGCGCCAGGACCCTGCCTAAGATACTGAGCTTCTTTCTCACTTTGTTAATACGAGATATTGCTGTTTTTTACTGCTATGCTTTTGTTAATACTGGATATTGCTGTGTTTACTACTATGCTTTCTTTTCTGTTTGTCAGAAAATTGAATATCCTTTTGCCTTCATTTTGTGTAATCACTCCATGATTGCATTTGTCAGATCTCTTTGCAAAATCCGTATGTACAACATCTTCATTTTGGTTTTCTTCCAATGCCTCCTCAGTTCTATCATAATGGTTTAGTAGTTATGACACATGATCTTTCCACACTAAATCCATACTGGTTTGGGTTGTGCAGATTATGGTGGTCCATAAAATTTGCAATTTGGCATCTCATCACCATTTTTTGAACTTTCATGGGTGCAAAGTTAGGGCGTCTGGTAGCAATTTTTAGCTATGCCTACTGCCTTCTTTATGCAGTAAGCTTTGTGTACATTCTTTAAGGCCTTGATGCTGATGAGGCACTCTTGATCTAGGAAATTGGATCTGTTCTCCAGTTCCCTGAATTGAGCCCGAATGCCTTCCATCCCCATCCCCCTTTCACACACACACACACATGTAACCTCCCATGATAATAATTATAATTTAATCCTCTGGTATTTACTATCTCTAAGCTTTTTCTTTTCTCAATTTGTTACTACGTGCTCATAGGCATTTTGCATTTCCTTTATAATAACACAGTGAACCTAAAAAAATCGAACGCCTTCCCAACACAACCAATTATGTAAGTGTATTTTTGTAAGTGCTTTTATAAGTGTATTTTTGAGGGTCTGAAATGAACTAATCTAATTTACATTATTCCTGATGGGAATAAATTCATTCGGTAAAGGCACTCGAACAGCCTTCTGGAACTGAAGAAATGTTCGATATTTGAGGTTTCCACTGTATTTCTTTTTCAAATTCTGCAGGATTAGTGTTTGTTGGTTATATGATCTGTGTGGTATTTAGTGGCAAGTTAAAATTTTCTGTATTCTCCACCCTGCTTGCATTTACTGTATTGCTGAACATTGCTTTATGTTGGTATTTTAGATTTTGCCTGTTATTATTTTTTATTTTTCAACAAACCAGGCACAAGCCGTATCCCACCAAGGCAGGTTGGCCCAAAAAGAAAAAAAAAAGTTTCTCTTTTTAAATTTAGTAATTTATGCAGGAGAAGGGGTTACTAGCCCCTTGCTCCTGGCATTTTAGTCGCCTCTTACGACACGCATGGCTTACGGAGGAAGAATTCTGTTCCACTTCCCCATGAAGATTATTATTATTATTATTATTATAAAGAAGCACTGAAACCTACAAGGGTCAAGTTTTCTATTTCTTTTTCATCATTGGTTGATCTGGCACTTGGTGGTGTTGCATGCCCAATTTCTTCTTGAGAACTTGTACACTTGTTCCGACAATGTTTCTGATATCATGTGGCAATGTTAAACAGTCTGAGATCATGGATGTTGATACAGCGTTCTCTTATTGTGCCCATGGCACCCCTATTTTTCACTGGGTTTGTTTCACACCTACTCCCCTATCTCACTCCAGTATGTTATTATGGCAGTGTGCAGATTTGCTACCAGGTCCTCAAGCACCTTCCATGTACAGTATTTCATTTCCTTGAAATCTAGCTGCTCAAATATCAGGTGATTAAATATATACACCTGATACTCGCTAAAATTACTCAGATTCTTTGGGATTTGCCTATGACCAGCTAATGTTACTTTCAACAGTGAAAATAATTAATGACAAGTGACAGGAGTCGTATGGTTACTAATGGCTTATCATGAGCTGCTAAATAATGAAATATACACATGTATTAATATAAAATATGCACATGAATCACAGTTTAAGTTACTAATACCTTATTGAGCCATTCAGTAAAATGTTGATTAGGGATGCACCAAACTATTGGTATCAACTGATTTTTATTGTATTAGTATCAGCATAGAGTTGAGTATCTGTATCTGTATCAGCTAGTTTTGATGAGTATCTGTTAATTTTGATGGTGTCAGTCACTATCTGCTAATTTTGATATATCAGTATTAGCCTAAAATTGAGTATTGGTATTGGCAAAAATTTGGGTATCATCCCATCCCTAATATTAATATAATCATAAATCAATGGATGTCCTGGCTCTAAGCGAAACAAAGATGAAGGGGGTAGGAGAGTTTCAGTGGGGGGAAATAAATGGGATTAAATCTGGAGTATCTGAGAGAGTTAGAGCAAAGGAAGGGGTAGCAGTAATGTTAAATGATCAGTTATGGAAGGAGAAAAGAGAATATGAATGTGTAAATTCAAGAATTATGTGGATTAAAGTAAAGGTTGGATGCGAGAAGTGGGTCATAATAAGCGTGTATGCACCTGGAGAAGAGAGGAATGCAGAGGAAGAGAGAGATATTGGTAGATTCAAAGTGAAGATAGGAGCCTTTGAAACCAAGTGAGAGAGTAAATTGGTAGGGGACTGAATGCTAAAGTAGGAGAAACTTTAGAGAGGGTGTGTGTAGGTAAGTTTGGAGTGCAGGTGTAAATGATAATGGGAGCCCATAGATGAACTTTGTATAGAAAGGGTATAGTTAATGTAATACATATTTTAAGAAAAAGAGGATAAATAAGTATACAAAGATATGATGCAGGGCGGAAATGACAGATTTGTTGTATATGTATTGGTAGATATAAGACTGTTTATAGACTTCAGATGTACATGTTTATAGATGGGGCCACAATATATCAGATCACTTTCTAGTATGTAGCTACACCTGAGAGTAAAAGGTAATTGATACAAGGAAATAGAAGGCATCAGGGGAAGAGAGAGTGTGAAGGATTATAAACTAAAAGAGGAGGCAGGTTAGGGTAAGATAAAAACAGCATTGGGGATAGATGGGCTAAGAGAGGCATAGGCAATGGGGTTCGAAGAGGTATGGAATAGGATTAAAAGGTGTAGTGTTAGTGGTTCAGCAGAAGTTATGTGGTTAACAGGAAAGTGGGTGCAGAGGGAGAGGAGCGATTGGGTGAATGATGAATTAAAAGGAGAGTAGTAAGGGAGAAAAAGTTAGCATATGAGAAGTTTTTTACAAAGCAGAAGAGATGCCAAGGAGGGAAGAGTATATGGAGAAAAAGAGAGAGGTTAAGAGAGAGTGGTGAACAATGTAAAAAGAGAGCAAATGAGAGAGTGGGTGTGAGATGTTTATCAACAAAATTAAGGTTGAAAATAAGAAAAAGTATTTGGAGTGAGATTAAACAAGTTAAGAAAGCCTAGAAGAACAAATGGGATATGTCGTTAAAAATAGGAGAGAGATTTATTAAATGGAGAGTAAGAGGTTTTGGGAGATGGAGGAATATTTTGAGGAATTGTTAAATGTTGATGAAGATAGGGAAGGCTGTGATTTTCGTGTATAGGGCAAGGAGGAAATTTTAAAATTCCCCCTTTTTGTATAAAGAGTGGGAGGAAGAGCCAGTTGTGGAGTGTGGGGGAAGGTTCGTGCGGCAGAAGCGTAAAATGAATTTGTTAGGGGGTAAGGCAGACCGGGATTGATGGATAAAGATAGAAATGTTAAAGAAGCAGGTGGGGGGATTTAGTTTTTGGAGTGGTTGGTGCAATTATTTAATAAATGTATGGAAGAGGGTAAGGTTACCTAGGGATTGGCAGAGAGCATGCATAGTTCCTTTGTATAAAGGCAAAGGGGATAAAAGAGAGTGCAAAAATTATAGGGGGATAAGTCTGTTGAGTGTACCTGGTAAAGTGTATGGTAGAGTTATAATTGAAAGAATTAAGAGTAAGATGGAGAATAGGATAGCAGATGAACAAGGAGGCTTTAGGAAAGGTAGGGGGTGTGTGGACCAGGTGTTTACAGTGAAACATATAAGTGAACAGTATTTAGATAAGGCTAAAGAGGTCTTTGTGGCATTTATGGATTTGGAAAAGGCGTATGACAGGGTGGATAGGGGGGCAATGTGGCAGATGTTGCAAGTGTATGGTGTAGGAGGTAGGTTACTGAAAGCAGTGAAGAGTTTTTACGAGGATAGTGAGGCTCAAGTTAGAGTATGTAGGAAAGAGGGAAATTTTTTCCCAGTAAAAGTAGGCCTTAGACAAGGATGTGTGATGTCACCGTGGTTGTTTAATATATTTATAGATGGGGTTGTAAGAGAAGTAAATGCGAGGGTCTTGGCAAGAGGCGTGGAGTTAAAAGATAAAGAATCACACACAAAGTGGGAGTTGTCACAGCTGCTCTTTGCTGATGACACTGTGCTCTTGGGAGATTCTGAAGAGAAGTTGCAGAGATTGGTGGATGAATTTGGTAGGGTGTGCAGGAGAAGAAAATTAAAGGTGAATACAGGAAAGAGTAAGGTTATGAGGATAACAAAAAGATTAGGTGATGAAAGATTGAATATCAGATTGGAGGGAGAGAGTATGGAGGAGGTGAACGTATTCAGATATTTGGGAGTGGACGTGTCAGCGGATGGGTCTATGAAAGATGAGGTGAATCATAGAATTGATGAGGGAAAAAGAGTGAGTGGTGCACTTAGGAGTCTGTGGAGACAAAGAACTTTGTCCTTGGAGGCAAAGAGGGGAATGTATGAGAGTATAGTTTTACCAACGCTCTTATATGGGTGTGAAGCGTGGGTGATGAATGTTGCAGCGAGGAGAAGGCTGGAGGCAGTGGAGATGTCATGTCTGAGAGCAATGTGTGGTGTGAATATAATGCAGAGAATTCGTAGTTTGGAAGTTAGGAGGAGGTGCGGGATTACCAAAACTGTTGTCCAGAGGGCTGAGGAAGGGTTGTTGAGGTGGTTCGGACATGTAGAGAGAATGGAGCGAAACAGGATGACTTCAAGAGTGTATCAGTCTGTAGTGGAAGGAAGGCGGGGTAGGGGTCGGCCTAGGAAAGGTTGGAGGGAGGGGGTAAAGGAGGTTTTGTGTGCGAGGGGCTTGGACTTCCAGCAGGCATGCATGAGCGTGTTTGATAGGAGTGAATGGAGACAAATGGTTTTTAATACTTGACGTGCTGTTGGAGTGTGAGCAAAGTAACATTTATGAAGGGATCCAGGGAAACCGGCAGGCCGGACTTGAGTCCTGGAGATGGGAAGTACAGTGCCTGCACTCTGAAGGAGGGGTGTTAATGTTGCAGTTTAAAAACTGTAGTGTAAAGCACCCTTCTGGCAAGACAGTGATGGAGTGAATGATGGTGAAAGTTTTTCTTTTTCGGGCCACCCTGCCTTGGTGGGAATCGGCCACTGTGATAATAAAAAAAATAATAAATCAACACACAATATCAATATCAAGCATTATGCAGCATCATTATTGTTGACCAGTTCTTCAAGAGATTATTTACAGTTATTTATATACTATAATGCTTATTTCACATATTAGTTTTCTGAATAGGGTGCATTGAGATGCTTTATGAAAATTTTGGAGATTTCATATGCAATATCATGACATTATTCCATGATTTATGTGACATTTAAATAAGTAATATGGAAAATAGAATATATTATAGAGTTGTTTTTTGACAGTGGTGTCGAGTCTGCTGGCGAGATTCTGTCGGAGTTGCAGCTGATGTGCAATAGAAACAGCAGCAGCAACGACAACAGTAACAGCAGTAGCAACAAGAGCAGCAGCAGCAGCAGCAGTAGTGGTAACAGCAGCAGCAGCAGCAGTAGCAGTAGTGGCAGCTGCAGCAACAATAATAATAACAAGGTTACCAACAAATCAGTGACAGCCACAGTTGCAGGTCCTTCAGTGGCAAGAAACATTGCTACACCAACCGTGCCACTACCTAAGTTGAGCACACAGCCGAAGGCAAGTACAGTACCACCTCACTCTTGACACTGCTTTTCATCAGCCTGTTTGGTTTATTAATAGTATTTTTTCACTACAGCTCTATTATTAATGTATTAAGCATTTAGTGCCTGTATATTTTTATTTATATGTTGTTAATGAAGTACAAAAAAAATTTAAGACACTAGCTATCTCATCAGTCAAAAAAAAAAAAAAAAAACACATTCACCATCACTCTTTCTATCATGGTCTTGCCAGAGGTGTACTGGTATTACAGCTCCACCCTTCCTTCAGAGTATAGGCACAATACTTCCTACCTCCAGGACTCAAGTCTGGCTAACTGGTTTCCCTGAATCTCTTCATAAATGTTACTTTGTTCACACTCCAACAGCATGTAAAGTCATAATGACGACATATCTCCACTCCTATCCGACATGCTTGCATATGCCTGTTGGATATCCAAGCCCTTTGCACACAAAACCTCCTTTACCCCCTCTCTCCAACCTTTCCTAGGATGACTCCTACCCTTCTTTTCCTTCACTACAGATTTATACACTCTCGAATTCACCCTAATTTGCTCCCTCTTTGAATATCCAAACGACCTCTGGATAATACTTTTAGTAATCCCGCACCTCCTAATTTCCAAATTACAACAAATTCTCTGCATAATATTCATACCACACATTGCCCTCACATGACTTCTCCACTGCTTCTAGCATCCAACTCATTGTAACATTTAAAACCCTTCTTCACAACTCTGTAAGTGTTGGTACAACTGTCCTCTGGTACATTTTTCTAATTGCCTCCATGAATAAAAGTTTTCTGTCTCCACAGATGCTTCAGTGCACCACCCCTCTCCCCCTTTGTCAGTTCTATGGTTCACCTTATCTTTCATAAGCCATTCAGTGTTGCCATTGGTAAATAAAGATAAATGGGACCAATGAAAATGTGACTTGACCTGAACTGCCATGTGAGCAGTAATTAAATAAAAGTTCAATTTTGTCTGAATTCCAGGGATTTCCATCTTAAAGGGTTGGTTCAAGGTAGCAGAATCATGATTTACATGTTTGGAAGATACGGTTGGTGTTGCTATTATATATCATTTTTTTACATATTTACTAATTTTTCATTCTGAAAATCTTTTAAAAAATTTAAATTATAATAATTGTATGTAAAGATGTACTGTGTTGCAAAGAAGTGAACAGTGTGCAAAAATGAAATACTGTACTGTATATTTCTAAATGGTAATTGTTATTAATATGATTATCGCAGGTTGAAGAGGTGACAAGTAGTGCAAGTGTGAGAGCCGCCCCAGCACCTACACAGCATCCACCTGTTGCAGCCACATTCAAAATCTTTGCTCCTCGTACAGAGGATATGAACAAAGGCTATCTCATGTTCTCTGATGATGATCCACAGTGCACAGGTACGAAAGAAAGATTTTTTTTTGAAAGATTTTTTATTTGCGATCTATTTGGACATTTTGAATATTAAAGATTTTTGTGTAATAAATAAGTTGCTTCATATCTTAGCTCATCTTTATTGTAGCATCATTGTATGTGATACTTTTAATTGCTTAAGATGAAACAAACTTTAAATATACCTTGTGTAACTAGCATTATATGTAAAATCTGAATTTACCACTCTTTCATGTACTGTACTTCCTCAATTTTTACATCGTCTTTTTGATCCCTGCATTACATACCTATAATATATCCCTGCATTACATATCTATAATACATGTACATGTATATCTATGGCCGGTTTCAAGAGTTCCACCTTTGAAATTTTATGCCAGAATTAATTGTCATCTGACTGGTCAACCAGATTTTTGCTACTGGTGGCCCATAGGCATATATAACCATTGTAGCTGGGTTGAATTGCCACTTTCTGCGGGAAATATTTTTCTCTTACTAGAGTAATCTAACTTCCCCAAAATAATAATGTACTAATCAAGATAATTCAATTTTCAGTGCTGAAAGAGGAGCCTGACGACCTAACCCATCTGGCACCCTCAGTTGGTGACACATATGTACCTCTCTTAGAAGTACCTAACTTAATCTCGAGTCATGATGACACCGGCATGCTCCACGAGGTGTCTACACTGATCCCTGAACTAGACGATATGTTCACCTTTGACTATCAGATGCCTATTTCTAGTTCTGATGTATTGATTTCAACTGAAGCTTCTGATAATAGTGAAGATCAAGAAGAAAGTCAAAAATACATATATGATGAAAATAAGCTCATTAGTGGTGTAAAGTGTATGAACAGGTAATATTTAATGTTTTCACGAAATTTGCAGCAATGTCATTTCTCACACTATGCCAAATATAAAGTAAAAATATTTCAATAAAAAACATTGTAATATTTTTCAGTCTATTAAGAGGACAGTGATTTTTTTTTCAGTGCTGTGCTGTACTCCTTTGGTATTCATGAATTCTCTGATCTGTTAATTTTGTTTAATGTTCTGCTGCTCTTCCCAGGACTGGGATTGTGGCTGCTCTATTCTTGGATGGATCCAAGATTTCAAGTACTTTAAATTCTTTGAAAAGAGCCAGAGACTCATGAAGGAATTTATTAAACTATTTTAATGTCATGAATGTACTGTAATCGGTACAAATTTGCCGGGTGCTACTTTCCAGTAGTGAAGCTGTAAACTATAGCTTGTTCGCATAACATTTGAGTTTACTGTTTAGTTTTAGAGAGCATATCTCGGTAATAAATCACTCTTTTGAGCCATTGAACATAATATGAATGAAATCTTATGGTTAGTTTTTAATTTAGAAGTTGTGTACCATCCTGGAAAAATGGATACTGCCAGTAAACCTGCAGATGAGGAAAACTTACAGATGGCTCATTACTGAAAAGTGTTGAATAAGAAAAACTTTTTTTTCTTTTTGGGCCACCCTGCCTTGGTGGGATATGGCTGGTTTGTTGAAAGACGAATTGAAGTTCAAAAATAAGGAAGCCCATGAATTGGTAGGGATGACTTCATTGTAATTATGGTAGGTTATGCTATGTTTAGGAATGGAAATTATGGGTTCTAGATCTGTAATAAATATACTGTGTGTAGTAGTAATGATAGAATTACTATGTTAGGTAAAAGGACACAGGTTCAATTAATGAGACATTTTATTGTGGCCATTATGGCTTGACAAAGCTCCTGGAGAGCAAAATATTGCCACAATAAAATGTCACATTAGTTGCCCCTGTGTCCTTTTACTTAACATACTGTGTGTATCCTCATTTACTCTCACAAACGATTTCAAATGAAATATTCAGTAGTACAGTACAGTGGACCCCCGCATACCATCGGCATCACATAACGTTTAATCCGCATACCGCTCGCTTTTATCGCAAAAATTTTGCCTCGCATACCGCTCAAAAACCCGCTTACCGCTGTTCGTCCGAGACGCGTCCAATGTGCGCCCTTAGCCAGCCTCACGTGTGCCGCCGGTGGCATTGTTTACCAGCCAGCCTCCGCGGTAACATCCAAGCATACAATCGGAACATTTCGTATTATTACAGTGTTTTTGGTGATTTTATCTGCAAAATAAGTGACCATGGGCCCCAAGAAAGCTTCTAGTGCCAACCCTACAGCAATAAGGGTGAGAATTACTATAGAGATGAAGAAAAAGATCATTGATAAGTATGAAAGTGGAGTGCGTGTCTCCGAGCTGGCCAGGTTGTATAATAAACCCCAATCAACCATCGCTACTATTGGTGGTACAGCTGCTGCTGCTGCTGTACCACCGTCAGCTGCTGCTGCTGCTGTAGTACCGTCTGCTGCTGCTATAGCTTCGTCTTCTGCTGCTGTAGCACTGTCAGCTGCTGCTGCTGTTGTACCACCGTCAGCTGCTGCTGCTGCTGTTGTACCACCGTCAGCTGCTGCTGCTGCTGTTGTAGTACCGTCTGCTGTTGCTGTAGTACTGCTGCTGCTGTGGTACCGTCTGCTGCTGCTGTAGTACCGTCTGCTGCTGCTGTAGCATCGTCTGCTGCTGCTGTAGTACCGTCTGCTGCTGCTGTAGCACTGTCAGCTGCTGCTGCTGTACCACTGTCAGCTGCTGCTGCTGCTGTAGTACCGTCTGCTGCTGCTGTAGCATCGTCTGCTGCTGCTGTAGCATCATCTGCTGCTGCTGTAGCATCGATCTGCTGCTGCTGTAGCACTGTCAGCTGCTGTTGCTGCTGTACCACCGTCAGCTGCTGCTGCTGCTGTAGTACTGTCTGCTGCTGCTGTAGCATCGTCTGCTGCTGCTGTAGCATCGTCTGCTGCTGCTGTAGCATCGTCTGCTGCTGCTGTAGCATCGTCTGCTGCTGCTGTAGCATCGTCTGCTGCTGCTGCTGTAGCACTGTCAGCTGCTGCTGCTGCTGTACCACCGTCAGCTGCTGCTGCTGCTGTAGTACCGTCTGCTGCTGCTGTAGCATCGTCTGCTGCTGCTGTAGCATCGTCTGCTGCTGCTGTAGCATCGTCTGCTGCTGCTGTAGCATCGTCTGCAGCTGCTGTAGCACTGTCAGCTGCTGCTGCTGCTGTAGCACCGTTGTTGGTGTGGCTTATTGAGAATACCAAGAAACAATTAACCCCAGAGGATTTGCCACCCAGGATAACCCAAAAAAGTCAGTGTCATCGAAGACTGTCTAACTAATTTCCATTGGGGTCCTTAATCTTGTCTCCCAGGATGCAACCCACACCAGTCGACTAACACCCAGGTGAACAGGGAAAAATGCCTGGAACTAGTGCTCATATTGGTGAATTTAAAGCCAGCAAAGGTTGGTTTGAGAGATTTAAGAATCGTAGTGGCATACACAGTGTAATAAGGCCTGTTCTGGAAGAAAATGCCAAACAGGACCTACAGTACTCAGGAGGAAAAGGCACTCCCAGGACACAGTGTCTCATCAGTCATTGCTGCATCTTCAATAAAGGTAAGTGTCATTTATTCTTCATTTAGTAGAGTAGTACATGCACAATATATATTATGCATGTACTACTCTACTATTGTGCATGTATCCTTCTCTTTGTGTGTAGGAAAATGTATATTTCATGTGGTAAAATTTTTTTTTTCGTACTTTTGGGTGTCTTGCACGGATTAATTTGATTTCCATTATTTCTTATGGGGAAAATTCATTCGCATACCGATCATTTCGCATAACAATGAGCCCTCTTGCATGGATTAAAATCGCTATGCGGGGGTCCACTGTATGTATATACATAAAGTACCTGTTATTACGTATTTATAGTTACAGGAGCTGATCTATGATTGTAGTTGTCTGTCCTCGGTATTTGATCATGCGTGTGCAAACTTTCTTTTTTACATTTCTAGTGGTTGTAATACTTCCTTCTCTTGTATTCCATTGCTTTGCTTTATCACCCTGGCAGAAAAACTTCCAGTATTCTTTCAGCACCAATATTTCCTCAACTTTTCCCTGTTTTTTCCATAGCTGGTGTTAAGTCTTTTTTTTATTCTTCTGTATTGTCCTGCAGATGTGAATGGCTCCTAGGGGAAAAAACTTTTAACATCCTGGTGTTATGGTGTGAATAGAAGTTGAGAAAATTGTTTACGATAAATTCTGAAATGGTATTTTGCAAAATTTCTCGAGTAAGATGTTTAAGAAAGAAAGTGTATCTTGTTTCCTCTGTAACTTGTATTGAGGGTTCAACTTAGCTGAGTCTACTTTGAAAGCTACAGATATCAAATCATTTTTGTGCAATGAAAAGTATGTTGTCCACTTAGTGACGTACTTATTTACCAACTACTCGGACTTACAACAGGTTCTCTGACCAGTATGCATACCTTAATAATGTATAGAGCTCATTTCCTCTATTCTGTTTATTACAATATACAGTACATTACTGTATAAACATACAAAAATATAACGAAAAATGTTATAAATGGTGCAAAAGTGACATTAAAGCAATATCAAAGATGGTTGACAGACCCCCACTACCATTATAGTATGCTCCTCACTTAGCGATGAATTTGTTTACCGATGTCGTCTTAGGAATAGAACTCTGTCGTTAACCCTTTGAGGGTCGACAGGCCCTCTCCGAAACTCGTTCTCAGGGTCGGCCAAATTTAAAAAAAAAAAAAATTATTTTCTCTTATGAAAAGATAGAGAATCTTTTCCCGATCATAAAGACACCAAAAGTTTGAAATTTGATAGAAAACTTACGGAATTATGCTCTCGCAAAGTTAGCGGTCTCGGCGATATTTACGCATCGGCGATTTTGCCCACTTTGAGCCCCATTTTCGGCCAATTTCACTGTACTAGTCGACAAAAAACACGAATATTTCGCTAGAACTCCATTTTTTCTATCGAATGGGTGCAAGAAACCACCCATTTATAAATTCAACTATCCAGTACAGTGGTCAGAATTTAGCAATTTTGCCAATTTCACACAAATTTCAAAAGATGCCAATTTCCGAATAGGGTCCAGAATAAACAAGAAAGACATTCCTGGCACTAAAATGACATTTCCTCTAGTCATTAGTCACGTCTCAAGGGCCCTCTTATATCCTTTTGCTTTCCACTTTGAATTTTTATTCTCACAAAAATATAAGATTTACTGTTATGCAGACTACTGCATTAGTGTAAAAAATGGTATAAATATTATTGGTGCACTTGTAAAAGAATATTAGACTCACCAGTTGACGTGTATTGCACGCTTGGCACGATTTGTTTACTTTTGAAGTTTGGTAAAAATCGAACATTTCTGCTACTTTGAGCTCAATTTCAGGCACCTTTCATTGTAAAACCAGTCAAAATCATCTCAATTTCTGTAATATGTCTTCCATTCTATAAAATGAGACCAAGAAAACTAGAATACAACAATAAATACCATACGAAAATACACTGCAAAGTCGCTGATTTATTAAAAAAAAATGGTCAAAGTTTTTTTTTTCTCATTATGCACTGTGTGCTGCAGGATTTTTTTTAGACTGTGCACACTGACCACATAGACCAATTCTTTCACATGAAGGCCTACCAGCTTTCTCCCACTAGATTTGAGGCCGCTAGAATTTATGAGTACTAGTACGTCAAAAACCCCTACGCGTAAAACGTACTAGTACGACCAAAACCCTCAAAGGGTTAAGTGAGGAGAGGCTATAGTCAGTTGAAGGTCTGTCAGAAAGAGGGAGTCTTCAAAGTTGGAGTAACAGACACAGATGCATAATTCAGTGAGGTTTACAAAGATGTAACCAGGGATAGGTCAGTCATGGAAGTCAAACTGGCATAGATCAACAGCTTATGAAGTGGATATCTTTATAAAGATACAAGCCTAGTCAAAGTTAAAAACTGCTATCTTATGAGGGATGTTGCCTATTGTGAAGGAAATAGTGCTCATTGTATTCCCAAGTTTGTGGGTCTTAGACCCTTTTGAGATTGTTAGGAATAAAATTAATTACAGCCACCTCTGCACTTAATGACGGAGTTCCGTTCCTAAGACCTTGTCGGTAAGTGAATTCGTCACTAAGTGAGGAGCATATTATAATAGTAGTGGGTTTGTGTTAACCAACTTTGATATTGCTTTAATGTCACCTTTGCACCATTTGTAACATTCCTGGTATATTTTTAAATGTATATACAGTAGTGTACTGTATATTTTAAAAAGCAGAATAGAGGAAATTAGCTCTAATACACATTATTTAGGTATGCATACTGGTCAGAGAGCCCATCATAAGTCTGAGTTGTCAGTAAACGAGTACATCGCTGAGCGAGGAGAGGCTGTATTGTAGTTTCTTTCCGTGTTCAAGTATTTCTAAATGGTTGATACACTGATTTTAGTCATGTTGTAAATACAGAGGGATAAATAATGTATGTATATATTTCTCTCAGGGATGATTCACTTCACTCCCAGAGCAATCCTAATTAGTAATTTTTTTATTATTATCACACTGGCCGATTCCCACCAAGGCAGGGTGGCCCGAAAAAGAAAAACTTTCACCATCATTCACTCCATCACTGTCTTGCCAGAAGGGTGCTTTACACCCTTTTTAAACTGCAACATTAACACCCCTCCTTCAGAGTGCAGGCACTGTACTTCCCATCTCCAGGACTCAAGTCCGGCCTGCCAGTTTCCCTGAACCCCTTCATAAATGTTACTTTGCTCACACTCCAACAGCACGTCAAGTATTAAAAACCATTTGTCTCCATTCACTCCTATCAAACACGCTCACGCATGCCTGCTGGAAGTCCAAGCCCCTCGCACACAAAACCTTTACCCCCTCCCTCCAACCTTTCCTAGGCCGACCCCTACCCCGCCTTCCTTCCACTACAGACTGATACACACTGGAAGTCATTCTGTCTCGCTCCATTCTCTCTACATGTCCGAACCACCTCAACAACCCTTCCTCAGCCCTCTGGACAACAGTTTTGGTAATCCCGCACCTCCTCCTAACTTCCAAACTACGAATTCTCTGCATTATATTCACACCACACATTGCCCTCAGACATGACATCTCCACTGCCTCCAGCCTTCTCCCGCTGCAACATCCATCACCCATGCTTCACAACCCTATATAAGAGCGTTGGTAAAACTATACTCTCATACATTCCCCTCTTTGCCTCCAAGGACAAAGTTCTTTGTCTCCACAGACTCCTAAGTGCACCACTCACCCTTTTCCCCTCATCAATTCTATGATTCACCTCATCTTTCATAGACCCATCCGCTGACACGTCCACTCCCAAATATCTGAATACATTTACCTCCTCCATACTCTCTCCCTCCAATCTGATATCCAATCTTTCATCACCTAATCTTTTTGTTATCCTCATAACCTTACTCTTTCCTGTATTCACTTTTAATTTTCTTCTTTTGCACACCCTACCAAATTCATCCACCAATCTCTGCAACTTCTCTTCAGAATCTCCCAAGAGCACAGTGTCATCAGCAAAGAGCAACTGTGACAATTCCCACTTTATGTGTGATTCTTTATCTTTTAACTCCATGCCTCTCACCAAGACCCTCGCATTTACTTCTCTTACAACCCCATCTATAAATATATTAAACAACACTAATAATGCAGTGTCACTTGATACTGCTTTATTCCATCTTAGCTACAGCTTATGCATCCTTTTTTTTGGGACTTCCTTACTCTATTTTTTCTCATTTTGTATTTTACTTCACTTCCTTTCCTAATTTATTTTTAATCTGCAAACATTAAGTTTTTTTTTCAAATGATTTAATTTGAAAGTCATAAAATATTCATACCCAGGGTATTTTATATTACATTTATATAACTTTCTTTCACTAGTTTAAGTGGAGGGAAAATATTGATAGACAAAAGTGGGTGCAGTACTCCTTCATCAGTGTGTGGAATAAGTTCTCCAGAGCCGCCAAAACCTCTACTAAGTCAGGCCGCATTATTCCCACCCCAAGAAAGGAAGCAGAGTACGGTATGTAAATAAATTATGAATACAATATCAGTGAATTCCTCTTAAGAATCAAAGTGATACAAGGTTACAGAAAAATAAATATTTAGATTATGTAGCTAGTAATGTCTTCTGAGGCAGATGATGCCTAAAGTGTGAAAAAATGTATAGTATACATAATTTATATAAACATTGTTTTTCATTGTTGAGAAGCAGCATATTTTTAAAAAGGTTAGACTTTAATTACTTTTTGCCTGAACATGTATAACATTATATATTTATATTAATTGCAGATACTCTAAATGTTAGTTGATTATTAAATCTCTTCTACACCTAAAATGCTAAATTATTTTTCATATTCATGATTCTTTAGACTCTCTCCTAAATAACAGTTTGGTGTTATTTTCTTACCACCTAGTATTATAAAATTTTCTCCTTTAACTTGCAGATTATATCTGGAGGCAGCCAGCCTAGAACAGCAACAGAAGCCCTCTTCACACACCTGGATGAGATCCGTTCATCAGACTCATTTGGAAAATTGGATCTCAAAGTATGAAAAAAACTTTTTTAATCATGTAATGATTTAGAGCAAATTTTTTGGCTAACCAGACAGTATTATAAATTAATTATTTGTCATAGAAATCTGAATAATTTTCTCAAACTATGAATACTGAACACTGTTAAAACTATGAATGCTAAGAATATTATTGCTTCTTGTTTTGTTTTTGTAAAAATTAGTTACAATTTATTTTTTTTTTTTTTGTTCTTTTAGCTTGAAGAACAGAACATGGACTCGGATGAGTTTGAGATGAGAGCTCCATACATTCCTTTCACTAACGAGATGTTGATGCTCAGCCCCGATGATCTCTTGTGGGGAGCAGAGTCTGAGCCTCTTATATCACCAAAACACACTGCATCATCATGTCGGTTAGTTCCATAATAATTAGCTAACACAACCTTTGTATTTGATTCACAGCAGTCATACATCTGACTTTACAAAATGGGAGTAGACAAGGTATAGTCAAAGTTAGGTTAGGTAAGGTTTGTCAGTAAACAGGGCAAGTGTTTCCTGACGCGAGTCTTAGTCAGATGATGACCCGCAGTTGGAGCTTTTGGTCATCTGACTGAGGCCTTTTGCTGGCTTACTGGTCCACCCCTTTAAAATTTATGGTCATAGTTATAACCATTTAGTATTCTCTATAAGGTGTAGTCAGACCCCCTAATTCATGAAGGTTATATTAACTTTCTGGAGATCATCATGAGTTTAGAATGTTCAACTACAATACCATTAAATTTTGTCTGTATAAACAAAATTAATTTATTTTCAGAAGCCATCTCTCTAAAAATCTTATTAATATTGACTTTATAATAAAGATTATCCAGTAAGAGAGATTTGGGTGTGAATAAAACATTAAACACAATTTTAATCCTTTCACTTTGTTTACATAGCTGTACACAGGCAGGATCATTGTAGTAAACTTAGATCTGTGCATAATTCACAGCACCCTTAGATTTTCTGTGAGCGGCAAATTTTGCATCAGTGCAGTGGTGGGTGTAGTGTAAAAAATCCTGCCTTAAGTGCATGATCATAACCAATACCTTCAACCATGTCACAGAGTGACATGGGCTGCCACTGATACCTTCTGCCTTGCCTCAGAGAATTTCCCCTCCTATCTATTGCTATCTTGCAACATTGCATAGCTCCTGATAATAAACAAGTGTGTGAAACATCTAGAGTTAAAGATTTCCATCCCCATGTTGCTTGTTCTGCACTGTTATGATTGCCTGTTTGCAACTGTTTTGCATGACAGACTCATTAAGGCAAACATCCACTATCACTAGGAAGACCTGTCAGGTGGGTAATAGTCTAGATGCTTCCTTGAAGCTGTATTCTGTACTCTTGCTTCAATGGAAATTTGAGCCATGATAACTCTCATGCCTCGGTGGGAGACGGCTGACTTGTTGAAAAAAAAAAAATTATATTCCTTTAAGAGTCAGGTGGTGTCTGAGACAAGCACACTGTAATGTTATGAAAGGATTAGAGCAACTGGCTCCTGATGATTGCATTGTTTAGTTCCTTAAAACTGAATGTGCAGCATTGATGGTTCCTGCAGTACTGTTCAAGATTAATGCCATTAGAATGCATCATCACTTTTATAAGATCTTTCAACAAACTGGCCATATCCCACTGAGGCTTATATAAGATACAGGTGTCAAAAATTTTTACGAGTGTAGAGATTGATAATGATTTGACAAAGCTTTAATGAGAAGAATCATATGGAGGTAATATTACAATCAGAACTAAACACTAAACTCAAGGGTGTGGAGGTAATAGGAACCTAATAATCATCATCAGGCTCCTATTACTTCCACATGATCATTTGTCATAAAGAGCACTAACATGATATTCCCTTCTGGGGAGGAAGGAGGAGTGCTGCCTTGATGATGCTGCTGCAAGACTCTTGATCAAAGGCTCCTGTAGATTATCATCATCATATTCAGGGAGTGCTGAACTCATAGGGATTATACAGGACCTGGGGAATGGAAAGCGGTCAGATTCAGTCTCTGGAAATTGAGGACAGGTTCAGTTCTTTGCATCATGAGCTCCTCACCAGTGTCAAGGAACCTCCCTTGAAAGACCCTCAACATCTATATCAATTTCCATTTCTTTATAATAATACTGGTGTTTTCTTCTTGCAGGGATGCAAAGTGTTGTCAGGGTATAATTGATAAAAACGACTCCAACTTAGCTCAGCTGCTGCGCGACACAGACCCTGCAATTGGGTTGACTAGCAAACTGCATCTAGGAAACTCCACCAGTAGTCAAAGGAGTCAATATCAGCAGAACAAATTTGATGGTGGAGGAGATTTTGTAGATCCAAACAAAGTTCTTCCAGGACACACTGCATGTAAAGGTAGGTTTATATACATATATATGATAGAGCCAAGCAGATTACAAATGCTCTAGGATTTTTTATAATATTACTGTACAGTGGACCCCCGCTTTACGATCACCTCCCAATGCGACCAGTTTTGTAAGTGCGTTTGTATGTGTATGTTTGGGGGTCTGAAATGGTCTAATCTAATTCACAATATTCCTTGTGGGAACAAATTCGTTCAGTACTGGCACCTAAACGTACTTCTGGAATGAAATAATATCGTAAACCAGGGGTCCACTATACTTGTATTTTTTTTCTCAACACTTCGGCCATCTCCCACCAAGGAAGGGTGACCCAAAAAATTAACACTTTCACCATCATTCACACATAATCACTGTCTTTGCAGAGATGCTCAGATACAACAGTTTAGATGTCACTCCAAACAGCAACTATCCCACCTCCAGGACTCAAGTCTGGCTAACCAGTTTTCCTGAATCCCTTCAAAAAATATTACCCTGCTCGCACTCCAACAGCTCATCAGGTCCAAAAAAACATTCGTCTCTATTCACTCCTCTCTAACACACTCGCACATGCCTGCTGCATGTCCAATCCCTGCACACACAAAAAGGATAAACTTTAGTTTTTCTTTGCCCAGCTTTGGTGGGATATTGTCAGTTTGTTGAAAAAACTTTCAGATAATTTCTTATTATTGGTAAGCTCTTTTATAAGGCTCCTTATATAGTGATAATTTTATGTAATATAAGTGAATATAGGAAAGAGTAAGGTGATGAGGATAAAAAAAATTAGGTAACAGAAGATTAGATATCAGATTGGGGGGGAGAGAGTATGGAGGAGGTGAATGTACAGTGGACCCCCGCATAACGATATTAATCCGTTCATGAGAGCTCATTGTTATGCGAAATTATCGTTATGCGAATGAATTTTCCCCATAAGAAATAATGGAAATCAAATTAATCCATGCAAGACACCCAAAAGTATGAAAAAAAAATTTTACCACATGAAATATACATTTTCCTACACACAAAGAGAAGGATACATGCACAATAGTTGAGTAGTACATGCACAGTATATATTGTGCATGTACTACTCTACTAAATGAAGAATAAATGACACCTTTATTGAAGATGCAGCAATGACTGATGAGACACTGTGTCCTGGGAGTTCCTTTTCCTCCCGAGTACTGTAGGTCCTGTTTGGCATTTTCTTCCAGAACAGGCCTTATCACACTGTGTATGCCACTACGATTCTTAAATCTCTCAAACCAACCTTTGCTGGCTTTAAATTCACCAATATGAGCACTAGTTCCAGGCGTTTTTCCCTGTTCACCTGGGTGTTAGTCGACTGGTGTGGGTTGCATCCTGGGAGACAAGATTAAGGACCCCAATGGAAATAAGTTAGAGAGTCCTCGATGATGCACTGACTTTCTTGGGTTATCCTGGGTGGCTAACCCTCCGGGGTTAATCGTTTCTCGGTAATTGTTTCACGTTAAGCCACACCAACAACACTCTCTCCACATCTTCGAGTAATACAACTGATGGTGGTGCAGCAACAACAGCTGTGATGCAGCTGACCATGGTGTAGCAGCAGCTGTGGTGCAGCAACAGCTGACCATGGTGCAGCTGTGGTGCAGCAGCAGCTGACTGTGGTACGATAGTATTTATCACCCTTTTTACCACAGGGTTGGCACTAGAAGCTTTCTTTGGGCCCATGGTGGCTTATTTAGCAGTTACAAGCACTATAAATAATGGAATAATACAAAATGTATCGAATGTATGCATGCAACCGGCCACCCTGGCTTGTAAACAATGACGGCAAGGCAGGCGCTCAGGCTGGATGGACAGGTTCGGGACGAGTCATGTTCAGAAACAGCTGATGGTGCAACAGCAGCTGACCGTGGTGCAGCAGCAGCTGACTGATCCAGCAACAGCTGACTGTTCCAGCAACAGCTGACTGGTCCAGCAACAGCTGACTGATCCAGCAACAGCTGACTGGTCCAGCAACAGCTGACTGGTCCAGCAACAGCTGACTGGTCCAGCAACAGCTGGGTACCTGATCCAGCAACAGCTGACTGATCCAGCAACAGCTGACTGATCCAGCAACAGCTGACTGACTCAGCAACAGTTGACTGATTCAGCAACAGTTGACTGATTCAGCAACAGTTGACTGATCCAGCAACAGCTGACTGGTCCAGCAGCAGCTAACTGATCCAGCAACAGCTAACTGATCCAGCAACAGCTGATTGTGGTGCAGCAGCAGCTGACTGATCCAGCAACAGCTGACTGGTCCAGCAACAGCTGATTGAGGTGCAACAGCAGCTGACTGGTCAAGCAACAGCTGACCGTAGTGCAGCAGCAGCTGACTGTGGTATGATAGTATTTCTCACCCTTTTTACCACTGGGTTAGCACTAGAGGCTTTCTTGGGGCCCATGGTCACTTATTTTGCAGATGAAATCACCAAAAACCCTGTAATAATACGAAATGTTCCGATTGTATGCTTGGATGTTACCGCAGAGGCTGGCTTGTAAACAATGCCACCGGCGGAACATGTGAAGCTGGCTCAGGCCGCACATTAGAAGCGTCTCGGACGAATAGTGTTGAGCGAGTTTTTTAGCGGTATGCGAGGCAAAATTTTTGTGATAAAATGTATCAGTATGCGGATTTAACGTTATGTGATGCCAACGGTATGCGAGGGTTCACTGTATTCAGATACAGCGGACCCCTGCTTAATGATCACCTCCCAATGCGACCAATTATGTAAGTGTGTTTGTACGTGTATGTTTGGGGGTCTGAAATGGACTAATCTACCTCACAATATTCCTTATGGGAACAAATTCGGTCAGTACTGGCACCTGAACATGCTTCTGGAATGAAAAAATATCGTTAACCGGGGGTCCGCTGTATTTGGGAGTGGACGTGTCAGCAGGTGGGTCTATGAAAGATGAGGTGAATCATAGAATTGACGAGGGGAAAAAGGTGAGTGGGGCACTGAGGAGTCTGTGGATACAAAGAACTTGATCCATGAAAGCAGAGGGGAATGTATGAGAGTATAGTTATACCAATGCTCTTGTATGGGTGTGAGGCATGGGTGGAGAATGTTGCAACAAGGAGAAGGCTGGAGGCAGTGGAGAGGTCATGTCTGAGGGCAATGTGTGGTATGAATATAATGCAGAAAATCCGTAGTTTGGAGATTAAGAGGAGGTACGGGGTTACCAAAACTATTATCTGGAGGGCTAAGGAGGAGTTATTGAAATGGTTTGGACATGTAGAAAGGATGGAATGAAATAGAATGACTTCAAGAGTGTATAAATTCATAGTGGAGGGAAGGCTGGGTAGGGGATAAAGGAGGTTTTGTGTGTAAGGGGCTTGAACTTTCAGCAAGCATGCGTGTGCTTGTTAGAAGCAAATGGAGACAAATGGTTTTAGGACTTGACGTGCTGTTGGAGTGTAAGCAAGGTAACATTTATGAAGGAATTCAGAGAAACTGGCAGGCTGGACTTGATTCCTGGAGATGGGAAGTACAGTGCCAGCACTCTGAAGGAGGGGTGTTAATGTTGCAGTTTTATAACTGTAGTGTAAGCATGCCTCTGGCAAGAGAGTGATGGAGTGAATGATGAATTCTTTTCTTTTTCGGGCCAACCTGCCTTGGTGGGAAATGGCCGATGTGTTAATAAAAAAATTAAATAAGTTGGTAGATAGCAGCCACCCAGGGAAGTACTACCGTCCTGCCAAGTAAGTGTAAAACGGAAACCTGTAATTGTTTTACGTGATGGTAGGATTGCTGGTGTCTTTTTCTGTCTCAAACATGCAAGATTTCAGGTACGTCTTGCTACTTTTACTTAGGTCACACTACACTTGCATGTACAGGCATATATATATATACACACACACACACACCCCTCTGTGTTTTCTTACTGATTCTTGTTCTGGTTTATTTCCTCTCATCTCCATGGAGAAGTGGAATAGAATTCTTCCTCCATAAACCACACGTGTCATAAGAGGTGGCTAAAAGGCCGGGAGCAAGGGGCTAGTAACCCCTTCCCCTGTATATATTACAAAATTTAAAAGGAGAAACTTTTGTTTTTCCTTTTGGGCCACCCCAGCTATACCCACCTTGGTGGGATATGGCTGGTGCGTTGAAAGAAAAAGAAGAATAATTTTATGTAAGAAATTGAAAAAGTACTTGCAGAACTGAAGTATGTAAAAAAGACTTAATTGCACACACACACACACACACTATTCAAAGTGGAGCTTTATAAAAGAGCTTACCATATACTATAATAATTAACTTAAATTAGTGAGCACTAAACCTTCAAGGATTATACAGCACTATGGGAATGAGTGGTAATCTGATGGGATCCATGGAACGGTAAAGTACCTTCACCAGGATCAAAACATTGATCTAAAAGAGCCAAGATAAGATGTTCCCCACAGTGAACAACTGTTCACACAGGCAAACAAAAAATTATGTCACAGTAAGAGTTCTATTGTGTTATATGTTCATTATCACATCTCTGGATGATGTTCATTATGACATCCCTGAATGTCTTAAGATATCTATGGATGATGTTCATTATAACATCTCTGGATGATGTCTTGTTCATTAAGACATCTCTGAATGTTGATGTATGACATGTCTCTCCTCCTGTAAGTTTGAGAGCTACAAGATTACATATCAGACAAGAGGGAAGAAGTATGAAGGAAGTAAATATGTTTAGAGATTTGAAAGTGAATGATTTGGTTGATGTATGTGGGTAACTACACTGTCTCCCTTGCCCTCTGCCTGTCTCTCTCTCTTCAGTTATGCTGCCTGTTGCCATTTTAGACCTTGGCTTAACTGTTTGGGGTCATCTACCATACAGGGAAATAATCCAGTACCAAGCAGGTCCAGACAGTGAATAATGTGTAAGACTGCCTCACCAGCTTCCCTCCCAGCAGTTTATAACTGGCTACAATTTCTTTCTTCAATTCTATTGTGTTTCTCACTTTCTTTACCAAAGGACTGGCGCTAGATAGTTTCTTTGGGCCCATGGTTAATTATGTAGCAGTCGCACTCAATCAACAAGCAGTGGATTATTGTGAAATG